AAATAGTTCATGCATGAACCGAGGACATGGTTTCGAATGAAACTCTAACGGACGAACTGCTAGCGAAAGGAACTTACCAGCTTAGAATCTAATTCTGTTCGGTCCAAAGTGACGATCACAGCTGGACGAACACTCCTACGGTTCTGAAATGGAATTTGGAGAAAGCTTGGTGAGTTACAGTAGAGAAAAGTTTACTGGTTTATGAGAGAAGTTGGAGAAGATGAAGGGTTTGGGTTCTGAGGAAGAGGATGAGTGGTGCAGGTAAGAGAGAGAATTCTAGAAAATCCAGTTTTGTTAAATTCATGATCGTTTGAGCGAACGTATACCAAGCTGACACCTGCACACTAAATTCTGAACTGGAAACTTCTTCTGCAACACGTGGCGGGTGTACATGTGAAGCCATGTGCGTTTTTAATGTTGCAGAGAATGATGTGACTCGGTTTCAGTGCACAGCAGAGGGTTTATCAGATTTGGAAATGGGTTTTTAAAATGAGATAAGCATGGATTGTGGTGTGCATTAATGGTGATATGACAGGTAATTTACAGAGTAAATTTTCAGGGTCTCACACATACCAAATATTCATCTAACTAATACAATAAAAGTACAACTAATAAGAAGCAAGGAAAAACATTTTACTTACAACTTTCTCTGTTAAAATGGATGCAATAACGAAAAGAACTATCAAATGGATGTAATAACAAAAAGAAGACTATCGAAATAGATGCAATCATGAAAAGGAATCGGAACGAACACAAAAGTAACCTATAGGACTTGTAAATCATGAAGATTCAACACAATAAAAAGAAAAACAATTTGTGTGTAGGAAAATGATGCTGCACAAAGATAATCCAAAGAGGCTTCAAGTCCCATCGCGAATTGTGGAAATGAGGATCATAATCAAATAGACCATGTTATTATTTTGGTAAGTGCAAAACAATAATTAGTTTGCCTATCAAGAGGAAGAGCAAATCATCAAGCTTATAATAGTGAAACAAAAGTCATTTACGCCACAAATTTAATGTCTACGACTTGCGCAAAAAATACAAGGTGGTACTTTTATAATTGAAAAAAACATTTTACGTGAAACATTTAAAGATTTGACGTAAATTTTAAAAGAGTTAAATATGTTTTTGGTCCCTTAACTTTAAGTGAAATTAGATTAGTCCATCTTCAAACTTTAGTCCAATTTAGTCCCTCAACTTTAACGTAAATTTAATCTTTTTAACTAAAATGTGTTAAATTTATTTTACGTTTCAAACATGTTTCATAATAACATTTGGGTTATTTACATTATTTGACACATTTCACTTCAACGTTAGTTGAGAAACACATTTGAAATGTCAAATAAACTTAACAAATTTTGGTTAAAGAACTGAATCCACACATTTTTAAAGTTGAGAGACTAAATTGGACCAAAGTTTCAAAAAGAAACTGATCCCTACTTTCATAAAAGTTAAGGAACCAATAATATCGTAGTATGCTCTATTCACATCAAGAAAATTATTAACTAACAACTAATTTTAGTAACAAAAATTAATTTGTAACTATACTGACTAAGTTAGATATCATTTTGTAAACTAAAAATTATTGGTATCTTAGTTTTTATTATGAATAAAAAATATATTTATTTCATGAATTAGAGTTTAAATTGGTCTCTAACGTTAGCTATTATGTTCCAGTTATAAGTGAGTGAAATTTAAGCTAGGTATATTTGGTTAAGTTTATAAACTTTGTTCAAAATGTTTAACTCAACTAGCGACTTATGTGAAAACGACCTGACATCCTGATAAAGTTGTTTAACAAAGGAAATACATTTAAGTTAAGCCTATGTTGATGTTTATTAGTACTAGTTGTGTTTTTTTGATGAATTGATATACAAGTAAATATTGAAATGTGTGAAATTTCATGTGTGTATTTTATTAACTTTTATTAACTACCTGACTTTTAACGATATAGTTGTTTAAGAAAAGAAATATACATTTAAGTTACGCATATTTTGGTGCTTATCAATATTGGTTGTTTTTTTATTTTTATGAATTGATATATAGAAAAATACTTAAATGTGTGAAATTTAAGAAAAGTCTGTATTCCAATGAGTTTATGAACTTAGTTCAAAATGTTTAACTCAACTTGCCACTTTTTGTTAAGACTACCTAACACTTCGTGATAGAGTTCTTTAACAAAAGAAATACGTTTTAGTTAGTCACATTTTAATGTTTATTAATAGTAGTTGTTTTTTTTATTAATTGATATATAGGTAAATACTAAAATGTGTTAAATTTAACAAAGTTTCTATTTTGTTAAGTTTCTATTTTGTTAAGTTTATATACCTTGTTCAAAATGTTTAACTCAGCTCGCCAATTATGTGAAAATTGTCTAACACTTCCTGATAGAGTTTTTTAACAAAGGAAATGCGATTAAATTAAACATGTTTTAGTGTTTATTAGTATTGATTGTCTTTTTTTATAATGAATTCATCATATATAGGTAAATATTGAAATGTGTGAAATTTAAGCAAGGTGTGTATTTGTTAAGTTTATAAAATTTACTCAAAATGTTTAACTTAGATATGTGAAAACTACCTAACACTTGCTTACATAAATATTTAACAAATTTAAAATATCTATTCTTGAAGTTCTTGAAGGACTTCGAATACCACTACAAGAAAAAAGTGTATTACATACAGCAAAAATCCGTATATAAGACCCAAAATCNGCCATCGATATAGCTCAAACTCCTCTATTCAAGCATCCTGCTAAATCAAGAACAGAAATAATCACAATTTGGAATAAAACCAAAACAGAAACTTTAATTTCTAATTTGGGAAAGAAGGGAAAGGGGTTACCTTCAAAGCCAGAACAAACATCTTCAATTTTATCGGTCGAGCTCACCAGAAAGGTGAAGAGCGAGGTCGTTGATACCAGCGATGCAGTGGACGGAGAGCGTGGTAAGATGGACGAAGACATATGCATCAAAAAAGGCGAAGGAGCCAGCGTCGTCGGAAGAGATGAGGTTGCGGGGGAAGTGGAGATTGGGAGGGGCGTAGAAGGAGAGGGCGGTGACAAAGGTAGAGTGTTGGTGGAGGGAACCGAGGGAGGAGGCGACAGAGAGGTCGTAGAGGTGGATAGTGTCGTCGTCGCCACCGAAAGCGACGATGGAGCCTAAGACAGCGACGATGGAGCCTAAGACGGCGACGATTTTGATAGAGGAGAGGTGGGAAGGGTAGCAGAAAAGACGGGTTAGGGATTGAGATTGGGGCTATCTATGATCAATTATGTAGTAGTGAGATGAACGAAAGAGAAGAATGAGACTGAGAGGCAAAGTAAAATGAAATATAGGGAGGAAAATGTGAAAAATAAGCGAGGAAGAGATATTATATCTGAATTTTAAAACTCCGTTATAATAAGTCAATAATAGGTTTTGCATTTTACAGGTTTTACATTTATTTACAAGTTTGCCACCGTATATTATATTATAACTGATTTTTAAAACTACGTTATAATATGTCTTAAACTTATTTACAAGTTTGCCACCGCATTTTATATTATAACTGATTTTCAAAACTACGTTATAATATGTCTTAAACTTATTTACAAGTTTGCCATCACGTTTCATATTATAACTGATTTACAAAACTACGTTATAATATATCCTATTATAATGGATAATTTTTATCCGTTATAATAGGTTCGTTATAGAAAGGTCTTTTTCTACTAGTGATGTATGCGAAAAGGCAGTGTTATCTCGGAAAGGGGAAAGTCCTGAGCGTTTATTTGAAAAGAAAAGGGGAGGCGCTGACGACAGCAACAACGTTGGCAATTTTGATACTTATTATATGTTTCATACCGAATAAACCTACAATTGTTTTCGTATATAAAAGTATCAAATATAAAAATTCATTAAATAATATTAGTGATGTGAATTAAAAAAAAATCTCTAAATATCCATAAAAGTATTATTATTAACCTTAATAGAAAAAAATTTAGGTGATATCTATATAAAATAATAGTCTTATTAACATCAGGGAAGAAAACTCTAAAAACTTCACCTAAAAAATATATCATTTATTAGCTTCAACAATGACGTGCACTTGAAAATACTTTCGAATAAAAAAAATTGAAGGTATAAACCAATAGTTTTTCGAATTTGTATACTATTATTCTTTGATATTCAATTGCATACTGTAACATCCCAAAATATAGTAATTACCATAATTGAGAATTAATTACAATTAACAGTAAACA